AAGAAAGAAACTTCACACACAAAGGGTCAAAGTTTAAGTCAAGGAAAGAATCAGTTCCAATACAATACAAGTAGCCTAGAAGGTGTGAAAACACACAAAAACAATCAATCACATCCGAAGTCACCACCAAGAGAGATGATTAATGAACTCGTGGAGAAATCTAAAAGCTCACTTCAACGAATTGAAGTATTCGCTGAAGACGTCGCCTAGTAGAGGGTATAGTAAAAGCTTCGAAAATTAACTATCCAGCTAGCTCAGAGAACACAACCACATCAAAATCTCTTTTATTGTATTTGAGGCAATCACCTGGCGATTATTTTCCTGAATGAATGACTGTATAGAGGATAAAACCTTTGTGGAGGGCTAATGTGTTACTTCTCTGTGAAAATTGCAATCAAAGATTCGATAAGCAGTACCCTAATTTAACTCTTATGGAATACAAGTATCAAACAGTCAAAGACATCCCAAATGCTGTCTGTACATTGAGACTGGTGCAGCATGAAGCAACAACATTTCATCCTGGAAACGATTTTGTTGTTTAGTGCAGCAAATGTTCTTAACATTAGGAGAAAAACGACCACTGTTTTGGACACTGATGGTCTTATTAGCGTTATTCTGAAGTCGCACAACAGTCTCAATTAGAAGTCAATAGGAAAAATGTAGCTGCAACAAACCTAAAATCCTCTGGAAAAAAAAACATGTGGCTATGATCGTTTTGTGTACATTAGTGGGACAGCTTACACAACCTCCTCACTCGCAGAAGTAAAAATCTCCAAAGCTCTTGAGGATGATTGTGAATTACCATCAGTGTTAGGGTGAGAAGAGAGAAAGAAATAAACGGAGACATCTCGTCCATCACATCAGACGAAACATGGTCAGTTACGCAAGATAGACAAAAAAAACAAGAAGCTGACACTTTTAAAAGTGAATAGCCAACGACACAAAAAACCAAATCTCCTTAACAAGTCGATATTCTTCCACAAAGTGAAAACATCAAAACAATCAGACTTAAACACCAGTTTCGAACAATATCTTCGCCTTTCTCCGACCTTGCTACAGTAACAGGCATCGTCATTTGTAATCCGTACACAATCGGATAGATGACTGACTCTGAAGTGACTCAGATAGAATGACTTCTCAAAGTTCCAGTAAACTCTTCAATGGAAAAAGATGCAATATTCGGGAAATTCTCATATTCTTAAGGAATCCAGCATCCACCTTCTCCCAAATATCAGGTAACATTAGAAGACGGTCTGTAAAACTAGAGTAAAGGAAATGTCTCTGTGGTGATGGGGAAAAACCTTCTTTATTTGGAGTTTATACGTGGCAGTTTGGGAGCATCAGAATAAAAAGTCAGTTCACTACACGAATAGCTACCTTGCTGGATAGTTTGCCTTACTTGAGAAAGCCTCTGATGTGTTATCACTATTACAAGTGAAATCAGTGATAGAGAAGTTTACTTGCAAAACTTTGCCGTGCAGAAGACAGATACATCAGTTCATTGAAGCAAGTAGAGTAGTCATGTACTAATAAATTACACCTGGGAAACTAGCTTTTGTTTAAAAGGGACTCATATACTTCTCAGAAGATTTCAAAGGTTATATGTATAATTTTTTGTTATAATCGATTTATTGTAGAAGGAACAACTGAATAATTTAAATCTCCTGTCCTTATCTTAGGTAAAGAGGAGACCAAATTATGAATTTCAAAATCATATGGAATAACTATTCTTCTGATCTAACTTCCAGGCCAATGCGTCTTAGAAACACATAGCAAGAGAGTCCAAGGAATAACTATGCTGCTCTGGATTGCTGCAGAACTGACATATGTGTCCCCAGAGGAATTGTTCAAGCAAAGTATGCTTGAAGATGACCAGACAAACATGGCTGAGGATAACTTGACCAAGGCTGAGGCTTTGTCCAAGCACTTTAGTCAAGTATTCTCTGATAATATTGATACCAGCTTTGTAAATTTTCCAGAAGGTAACTTGAAAATGGCACCCTTATACATTGGAAAGGATACTGTCCTAAAGTGGCTTCTAAGGCTCAATCCTGGTAAGTCCAGTGGCCCTGATGAACTCCACCCACGTATATTAACAGCATTGGCTGAAAGCATAGCCGAGCCATTGTCGGTAATCTTCAATATGTCTCTGGACCAGTCTAAATGTCCAAGAGACTGGAAAGATGCCATCATTAGTCCGGTCTTCAAAACCGGATCTAGAAACTTAGTTCAGAACTATCGTCCTGTTAGTTTGACCAGTATTGTTGTTAAACTACTAGAAAGAATAATTCGTGATGCTATCATTCAGTTCATTGAAGGGAACAAACTTTTCGCTGTGGAACAGCACGGTTTTAGAGCAGGTCATTCTTGCTTGACCAACCTTCTTTTGGCCAGAGAAAGTTGGGCAAGCTCAGCTGATGCTAATATACCGGTGGATGCCATATTCATAGACCTTAGCAAGGCGTTTGACAGGGTTTCTCATTCAGGTCTTCTAGTAAAGTTAGGTAGTCTGGGAATCAATAAAGTGGTTACCGACTGGATTCAAGACTTTCTAAAGGACAGAAGACAAAGAGTACGAGTTAACGGGGTTTTATCAACATGGGAATCGGTTAAGAGTGGCGTTCCTCAGGGTACAATTCTAGGCCCACTTCTTTTCCTGATTTATGTTAATGAGATTCCATCGGTAGTTAAGTCATCCTGCTTACTGTTTGCTGATGACATCAAGATATGGAGGGCTTTGCACGATGACAGTGATCAACTTGCTTTGCAGGAAGATTTAAACTTGTTAAGTGATTGGTGTAAGCACTGGGCCTTGGAGATTAACTTAAGCAAGAGTGTAGTTATGCATGTATCCATAGTCACGTGCACAATTACTCAATGAATGGCATTACTCTCCCAGTGGTCACTGAGTACAAGGACTTGGGAGTGGTTGTGCAGCATGACTTGAAAACAGCAACAAACTGTAGAACTGCAGCCACTAAGGGTTTTCGAATGTTATGGGCCATACGCAAGGCTTTTGCGAACTTTGACGCTGATATATTTCGTATATTATATCCGACTTATATCAGACCTCATTTGGAATATGGGATCCAGGCAGCGAGCCCGTGTTTCAAATACGAAATAGACTTATTAGAAAGGGTGCAAAGAGTAGGAACTAAGCTAATAAAGGGTTTCTCAACCCTGTCATATGAGGAGAGGTTAAGTCGACTGGGTTTATTTCCACTGTCATACAGACGACTTAGGGGTGACCTAATACTAGCATACCGTATCCTAAGAAATGATTTTGGAGCTAATTTATCTAAATTATTTCTTCCTTCTAGCACCAACCAATTGCGAGGACATCACCTCAAGGTTCAAAAACCACGGTCGAATCGTCTGCGTCTGGAAATCCGTTTTTCGCATCGAATTGTGAACCATTGGAACTCCCTACCGGAACACGTCGTATCAGCGCCATCCGTTGATTCATTCAAGGCGAGATTGGACCTCCTGTATGCAATAAATCGAAAGGATTAACACAGGCATATAGCCTACTATCCTAAATAAATTGTAAACTGCAAACTGTAAACAAACTTCTTAGAAAAGTCCTTCCATAAACCTGAACTCATATATCCTTAGTCAAAAAACTGAAGCAGAAATCTGGCCTCAATTCATAAACAGGCAACGATCCCACTCCTTTCGGTGTTTGAAAACAAATAAACTGCAAGATTTCATCATGAGTTGACCTTAGACTGGAGAACCATCAGGAAAACTGAGAGTACTGGACATCTGTTTCGTCCTATTATAAGGCTCGCCTGCGCTACTCACCCTCCACTAGGGTTTGAAACCAAGACGCACGGGTTACATACCACTGGGATCCGCTGGGATCCAACTTCTCAATGGCTAGCCCATGAATTCTATCTTCTATCAGTTCGTGATGTTTTAAACGTCACTGGGACCAACCAATGTCACTGGTTGCGAGTATCTATCCTCACTGCCCACTGGGTGGATGCCACCGGTAGTGATGACTTTGCACTAGAACTCCAATCAAACTTTTCCTGCAGCCCATCACTAGCAAGCATGAGATCCATGGTTAAAATTCAAAAAAGAAAAAATCCCTATAATCTAACTTTCGAAAATAAAGTATTTATGAATAAAATTGTTACAGAGACCCATAGAACTCAAAACAAAGAGAAACATGTCACTTTTCAGTATTAATATCAAGTGAGACAGGGCTTCTATATGGTTTAGATAATAGTCTGCCACAGACTTTCATCAGCACCTGTCCCCTTTGTCGGTTCGATACTAACGATCAGCAATAAGCCATAAGAAACGTCGACAGTACAACAGAACCAACCAACAATTTACTCTCCAAAAATATCCCAAAATAAATCAGAAAGGATTGGAAATATGTACGGAAAACATTCATCCCACGCCATATATAACATTCAGTGGAATCTGCCTGAAAAGCGACTTATTGGGCATAGGTTCAGAAACGATCTGGAGAAGATAGTGTGAAGACTGACTGGCTGACTGACAGGTTTCATTCAGCATAGAACTTTTCTCAGCAGCAGTTTCAATTACCACAGCCCATTTATGAAGAAGAAATGAAAGTCTGTGGGCAGGTTTAAAGTCAGCTGAAAGTGATGCCAAAAAAACCGGATGGAATGGAGATGTGAAACTGAAGAGGCATGTATTAGATGGAACTCAAAGTAGTAAATAATAACGATGATGATATTAAATTAAGCAGATTTTGATTGAATACATATGTACTGATAACAAGAGAATCTCTAGTCTACAGCTTATCTTTTAGACACTGAACAGAGGTTGGATTTTGTGCAGGAGAAGTGAACATTGATAGCTCACTAGCCTATTTGCTAAATAATACAGAAAAAGCTGAGATAGCTGAGTTGGCTCATGCATAAGTGGAGTTTTTTTGTATGAGATAACCACATATATTTCATCATTAACATTATCATCCACATTAAGAAGAGATTGGATCAAAAATGCGGTTATGCACAATATCAATTTATTGGATTATTAATCTTTGTCACATTCTCATCCGTCTGTACAATAACACACTCTTCTATCCAGTCATCTGTCTCTTTCCAATAAGAATTACGGCATGTGAATACCAGGACTGTAATAATATTTAACAACCATGATTTAGAAGTCAGTAGTTCACCGTCATCACTACCAGTAGAATGTTCCCCAGAGTGCGACTCTTCATTACAAGGTAACACTTTTCAAGAATTATTGATTGTAGAAAATATTTGCAGCTCAAAAACACGTTCCCCATTACATCGTGACATGTAAGGCATTGAATTAAATCATTTCTTGGAGGGAGACCATTGAAAATAGGTTGACCAGACCAACAATAACGTGTATCTTCACAACCATACTCGCCTCTATTGGATAGATATGCCAACAAGGTATCACTAAATGATCCAGGAAGTGTATTATCATCTTCTTCAATGAATTCTTTATCGATTTGTACATTCTCTGAATATTTAGAGAGGAAATGTTTAACGGATGATGATGATGATGAGTCCACCTCGTCTATTGGTGGTTGTTGTTCACTGTCACACTCATTATTATTTAGTATACTTTCTGTAATATTTATAGTATCTTCGTATATATCAATTAGATGACATTGGAAACGACCTTTGATGCAAGAGACGCCTTCAGTCACTTTTTCTTCTGATTTACATTTAACCTAGAGGGGAAGAAAAAGGTACTCATATTTTTATTCCCTTTAGTTACGAGTCGAAAATAGGCCTCCAGCAGAACCTTTCGATTGCACCCTATTTTCTGTGGTCCGCCTTTAGTTGACCCCAAGATCATCCGTAAGCTGTCATCTCTCCTCCATATGACTTTCGGACGCCCCACTCTACATTTTCCATTCAGGTTCCATACGACGGATGGCCTTGTGCGTGATGACGTTCGATGATCACCTCAGTGTGTGTCCAACCCACCTGCATTTTCTTCTACATATTTGTTAGGTAACCGATTCTTGATTGGTTTCGCTTCCACAGTCTCTTATTGTCTCTTTCATTTCTGGCCGACCTTTTTGATCTTCATTATAGAGCCAGAGAAGGAGGCAGCTGTTGATCAGAGTTTGTATTGGTCAGTTCGAAATGCTTTTCGTGATGCACTCGCCAAGTTTCTTATCCATACAGAAGAAATAACCAAACCTTTTTGGTTGAAAATTCGAATTTTGTTCTTCATACTGAGTAAAACAAATTTTGCAAACTGATTTAAGAATGATGATGAAAGTGTGTCTTGCCTTTCCGACTCTGACTGATTTTGATATCCTCATCGGCTGTCGCATGTGTAATTGAAATGATGCTGCTTAGATAAATGATATTTTGATATTTTCAAGTATTGGTTTTGTAGGGATTTTGTTTCATTGTATGGAGAATTTCATCATGATCTGATATTAATCTCATGCTCACTAGTGACTGGCCCTATTCAAGCAGTTAGTTACCTGGGGGTTCTAGTAAGAAGTCGTGACCAGAAGGGTACAGCAGGTCGAAGATGAGGCAGTAAGTAACTCATCGAAGAAGATATTACGAAATGGTTGCACTATGTCGTGAATTGGCAGAATTTAATAATTCATGGACTGACCATTGGATTGCATCCCAGTTGCTCAATGGTTTACGAGTTCACTTACCTTGTAACCAGAATGTCCTAGGTTCAAACCCTGGTGGTGGGTGCATAATGATGAAGAGTCTCACAGTTGTCCAGTACTCCCGAGTTTTCCAATAGTTCTCTAACTGATGTCAACTCATAGTGAAATCGTCCATACGATATTTTATACGTATTTTTGACCATTATTATTATTATTATTCCTTTAGGTTCCAAGATAAACATTGAGCTTGAACAATACACCTCCACTCTCTTCTATTTTCTGCTATCCTCTTCAGCTGGCTGTCTCCACGATCTCCCATAGTCACTCATCTGCTACTCCTCTTCGCACTACTCCCTGCATGTCACCCTCACACTGACGAGCGACTCGTCGCTTCTCTTTTGCGGTTCCATAAGAACGATGGCCTGCATTGAGCAAGACGTCATTTGATGGCCACGTATGCCCCCCAATGAATCCATCTTCGTTTCCATCTAAATATTTGTTGAGCAATTGGCTCTCGCTTGTTAGTTTGTTCTCAGCCAGCCAACTAGAGTTTCTTGTTGTTAATTCTTCTTGGTCATTTGATCTTCCGTATGGAGCTGGACAGTGAAGGTACCAGTCTGTTGGAAATGCTTTTCGTGATGCAAGCGCAGTGTAAGTGTCTAACCCGTATACAGGAAGTGATTTCGTAATTTTCACCAGTATTATATGAAGAAAGTAGGATTGTCTGAAACTATCTCGCATTAGTCGTGTATGGCAACGTGAATGTTCTGAGATCAGACTCCTGGATTAGTTCTGATTAGTTCTAAACTGCTGCAGCACAAGTGTTAATTAACTCCTGAGCTTCTAACACTTCGTCACTCTATATGCACGTACATCCGTCATGTTGGTTACTTAATGAAAGAAAATTTCAACCCAGAAACATTACATCTCATAATAATGTTAAACATAATAAATACATCACGTGAATACCGTTTTCATGGTTCACATGGGTTTTATACCATGTGATTCATAAATCATCAAAGCAAGCGAAAAAAAACACCTAATCTAATCATGTTTAGAATTCTTTGTAAAATGACTGCTTCTAAAAAATGTTTCTGGCAGTGATTTCAGAATTCGATTCTTATGTTCTACGAATCCACTGCCTTCAGGATAGTACACTGTGGCCGTAGACTTTTGAATCCTGAATAAGTGGCACACATCTGTCTATGACGAAAAGGATGTCCAGATTTGTTCCTTGTTCAGAATGGTCAGTTGAGAATTATTGAAATACTAATAATTCCAGATTATGAATTAGGCCTACTGATCATTCGACCTCCGGAACAGAGTTAAATGACTCACCAACTTAGAGTGTAAGGAAAGAAAACTGCTGATGTCAATGGATGGCATTGGAAGTATGCATGAAGAATTACGAAAAGCTAAAGATCATGTCAAGTTTTACCAACGTGCTTATCTTATAACCTAAAAGTTCTGGTTTCAATCTCCTTTGAGGTCATTCATGCTTACTACTGAAGAGTTTGAAACTAGGACGAAACAGTTATCAGGTTGTGCTATTGATATATTACAATATATCTCAGTTTACTGATATGTGAGTGTTGTCGTCAGCAAAATGGTGAGAAACGCAATAAAGCCTTCTAGACTGGTAGGATGCGCACTGGACCTAAAGCTTCTATATATGGGTAAGAAGTTCGCCAGTCATTAATAAATTTGTTCGATCAGATCTATTGAATTTAGCCCAAGAATGATTTTGGCGCCTTCAGTAGTGCACTAAAACTCAATCGAACCTCTGAAAATTCAATACCTGTACATTTGGTGCCTATCATTCCTCGTCATCCTTCTGTTACAACTTCTAAGAATGAAGGTAATCTGATTTAATCTCATCAGTATACAAAGTTCTCCGGAAACACCAACAGGTAGCACGATGATTCGTCTTAAGGTCATTTTAGAACAATCTGTCTGCAGTATTGATGTTTATTTGAGTATTTCAGTTAGTTTTGTAAGTAAATTCCCTTATTCTCTAGCTTTGTATGTCATTCGTCCAAGTTTTGCAAATCTTCAAGTATTGGTTTGTAAGGATTTGATTGATTGGTTACAGGATTTCATCATCAGCTGATATCGGTTCGAGAACCATTTGAAAACATGTAAAAAGTACTGAAAAGCTGTTTTGTCCTAGTTTAGGACTTTTCATCAGTACCCACCCACCGAGGTTCGAACCCAGAACCTTCTGGTTGCAAGGTGAGCTAGCTCGAAGACCATTAGCAGCCATTGGGACACAACATAATGGCCAATCCATGAATTCTAGCTTCTGCCAATTCACGATATAGCGCAACCGCTAGCCAATGTCTTCGGCGAATATTTGTCATCACACCCGGCCTGCAAATCTTCTTTGGAAATGATACTTGATATCTGTTTATCTTTTTTCTGTCCGATGTTTAAATCACTTCATTCTAGTTGACAAGTGAACATTAGTGACTGATGTGAGGCGTATAAAACTACTGAATACTCAATTAATCAGTAGTTTATAGCATTATATGTTTATAGGCAATATCACTGATCAAATCGCCACACTATGGATCAGCATTGAACAAAGCATGGAGTGGCAGTCACCTCTTCGTCTCAACTTCATCGACTTTGAGAATGGTTTTGATAGCGTCGATCGAGAGGTGATTTGATAACTACTTCGCTACTTCGAGGTGCCACCGACAATTAAACATCTCATCCAACAGTTGTATGACAGTGCTGAATGCCGAGTAATCCACAACAGGAAACTTACAGAATCCTTCGAAGTGAGGATGGGAATAAGACAAGGCTGTCTACTATTATCAATGAATTGCCTGACTGCGGAAGATTGGATAATGTGACAGACAGTAGGCAGCGAGGAAACAGGCATATAATTGGCCCACACAAAACTTGGAGGATCTGGACTTCATCGATGATTTCCCACAAAGTGGAGGATATGCAAGTGAAAAGCAACAAGTTGGCGATAGGAGAAGCATCAATGATAGGACATCACTTCAGGTGAACATAGAGTAAGAGGTGATGACGATTCCTGGCCAACTGAAATAGCAACAACAACAGACAACAATCAGCATAAATAGGAGGGACCCAAAACAAACTCCTTCACCTACCTAAGAAGCATCGTTTCAACTACAAGAGCAACTGACGAGGATATCAAAGCAAAGATCGGAAAAATAAAGACAAGCTTTCATTACTCTCAAGTCTGTGTGGAGGAGATCAACACCACTCAGCACTCAGCATGAAAAATAAGATCCGGATTTTCAACTCCAATGTGAAGTCAGTCAGTGCTACTTACTATACGGATCAGAAACTTAGCGCGTCATAAAGAGCATCTCAAACAAACTTTAGACGTTCATCAACAGCTGTCTTCGTTCAATACTCAAGATCAGATGACCAGAAAAGATGAGCAATATTGAGGGATCTCTGGCAATGAACGAACCAACACAACAGGACCTCATTGTGCAGCAAACAGGCAGAGAAATGGAGATGGATTGGCTGGGCATACTTTGAAGAAACCATCAAGTGACATCACTAGACAAGCCAGTGCTCGAGTGGAACTCGACTGAATGGGAAGCGGCGAGTTGGTCGTTAGTGTGAGGGTGACTTGGAGGAGGTGATGTGAAGAGGAGATAAAGCATGTGGGCAGACATGAAGCTGGCTGAAAACGTTAGCAGAGAACGGAACGCAGAACAGACGCACGGCTGAAGGATTATGTTCCTCAAGGAGTTAAAGAAAACGATATTAATAATACATCAACAAAATTATGACATTCCTTCTCACTAAGGCACTTTATGGTGCACATTTTTGCTAGTCACTGAATTTCAACCCATAGAAGAGAAGGTAGCGAATTCATCACTTTGCTTCCAAATGCTTTCGCAAATGAACCGACAGGAGACATTTATTTTCCGTGACAAAATCCGACATACTAACGTCACATCTGATGCAACATTAAACACAATAAATGTATCATGTGAATACCGTTAATCTCATGATTGTTCACATGAGCTTGAAAGCATGTGATTTACAAGCGATCAAAACATGCAAAAAACGTCACATCTTATGAATGACTC